AATATTTTATTTTTAATAAATACACTGAAAGATACATGAATCGAATACTTAATATTAATATACATTCATCATTTGAATAGATGTTACAATTATCGTTTTTGTAAGGTTCAATTTCGTTTTCATGGCATCATTCACGAAAACGAGCTCATAAAGTTAATTGACTACAAACAAAAACATACCAAATGAAATGGGATGAGTAGTTAGCACCGGAGTTATCGCGTTTTCATTATCCCATAAAAGTTTTCTATAAGCTGATTATCTTCCCGGGTTTTGGCTTTCCTTCTTGCATCGGATACTGGTTTATATCTTTATTCACCACTCGAAATCTGTGATCATTAAAACTTTGATTTATATATAAAAAGTAAAATAAAATAGAATCTGAAAAAAAATAACTCAACGGAAAAACTCACGTAATAAATTCGGGCAAATGACATTGTCTTAAAAAGTATTTTAATTCGATGAAAGAGCAAGTCCCGCAAAGTTGAGACGTCGACCGACAGCAATACGTCGTGGGGCGATTTGCATTTTTATGAAAACGTTTTACGGCACTGGGTCGCTCTAGGTGCCTTTATGTCAGACGGATGAGTTCACGCTGCGATCGGATCCGACGAAGGACATACGATTTTCAGAATAAATATTACTAAAATCCCTTGTCTGCAATGATGTATGTATAAATCTTACCAAATTTAAACTGCCATATATTCACTGTAAACTTAACGAGAATTATTTTTTATGACCAATAAAATAAGTAAGTTTAAAAAAATACTCTAAATTAAATCCAAACAAATCGAAACTGGAATCGAATCAAGACGTAACACAAATCCACATGGAGATCGTATATAAAGCAAACATGAAATAAGGAAACCGGGCTGCACATAAAATGTTAAACATCTGGACCGTTACGCTTCTAGGACACACGGCTTTCATTCGTCTACCCTTTCTACTCGTATTTTTTCACGCTTTACATCTCAACTTGGCTACCGGATGCGTAGATTTGCTCAAAAGCAAATGAAAAATGTAACTATTTTTTCATCCCATTGCGATGAGTTTAATTTTTCGTATATTTTTCAATCATTTTTTTGTACACGTAACATGTATTGTTATACTGTATCTTAAGTGAATGAAACAAAACAAAATAATAAACAAATAAACTCGTAGGTACTTCAGTGCTTATTATATCTGTTAATTTTAGACTTGCAAACCTCAAAATCATTATCTCAATCTAAAGACTATACATTTTTGTTTCATTTAATGTGGGTTCTAATCAAAGTTTCGCCTATAACTCAATCAAAATTATTACTAACAAATATCACCAAAACTTATTTCATCAAAATTACATAGCGAAAATAAACTGAGTTTCTAAAACTGAAGTGGTAAAAGTTTAAAACAGTCTCAGGCAATTTTTACTTTTAAAGATACTTGGACACTTAGCCATGAGGCCAAAAGATCCTAGAACTTAAGCAATTAGTGGGCTATAGTCAGACGGTAATTAAGGAGAAAATATTATTTGAACGCAGAAGTAGGAAATATATTTTGAGTTATAAGAGTGTAATTTCGTTATTAAAAAAGTATGTGCTTTTAAAATGGTTTTGAATTTAATTTTTTGAATTACGGAATATGTATTTCAAGTAGAATATAGCTTGTTACTTGAATGAAATCTACAAATAAATTCAATTGAAAGAATTAATTTGACAAGGAACTAACTAAAACTAGTGTTTTTTGGTTTGTATTTCCTTTTTACTTAAGATACACGGACACAAGTCGTTATGAGGGTCAAATATAATAAATTACTATTTAAAATATATTATCCCAATATGAGATAAGATCTTAATAACGCAACTGAGCCCATTCCAGTATTAATCTTTAAGGCACCAGTAAACCGTTTATTTAACTGCTAGCGGAATCATCCCTTCGAGGCTTAGCGCTATCTCTTGGAAAATATGTACAAAAGCGGTACAGAAGCGATACTTAAAGCTCATCGTGATTTATTTAGGGCTCCTTCGAGTTTCGCGGCCCATGTCACGCCTGATTCTAAGAGTTTTGGTCATTAATATTCATTAGAACGCCCGCCTGTTCCGTTATATTTAATTTAAACGAAACAAAACACTACTTAAGTACCCGAGTACCTATTTCATAGTAGTAAAGGTTTTGACAAAACCCTAAATGCCTAGTTGAATTTAATTAAATATCCAATTTATGTGATAAATAAACTGTATTAATGCAGTATGTTTTGAGAAATTCATTTATAGAAGCATGTTTTCCTCGTGTATTAGAAAAACTACTTCCCAGTAATATTTTATACAGACAATTTCTTTCACAGTACCGAAGTAAGACGTCTCGCTTTGCGATTATCCAATATTAAATAAGATTTCAATTTTAAGATGAATCGGCATTCGTTTTCTGAAGTCCGCATTGAAAATGGTTTTCTTTGATTGAAAGCTTTCAGTTGCATTTGTTGCAATAATTTTTAAAAGACAGTTATGATTAAGTCTGAAATGAACTTAAATTTCACTAATGACTACGAAAGATTTTTTATGTAACAAATATAAATATCATTACAGCAAATTTTAATTAACTACTAGTTGCTAAAACAACTTCTATTCTTAAAATTTAGTAATATAAAAGCAATTTAAAATACATATTTGTAATAAGTTAACAAAAATATTAAAAATAAAACGAAATATGTATGTAATAAATTTGAAATTAAATATACCCTGTAACTTTTCTATTAACATAAAAATATAACTTTTTCATAAACTATTATTAATATGTTAAAACATGATGTATTTATTAAACAACAACAACGAAACTGTTAGTTTGTTAAAATTACTTTCACAAATAAAATAGTTTGGCGAGTCAATTCGCGGACAGCAAGCCCATTTACATTTTTATTGAAAGCGTTTAAAGAAACAGTGGATATAGCTGGTAGGGATGCCATTGGGGAATTTTACGGTTTCCTTACATTTCACCATTCGCATTCTGCCGACTACTTTGTTTTAAATTTGTAGGCAATACAAATGTGAGATCTTATTTAATGTTTATTTATACAATTTACAGTAAATCTTTTTAAAAAAATCGTTTGGATAAATTAAGGTTGACACAAAATAAAATTTAAATAATATGCTGAAATTTAAATGTGTATGCTGTTTTTAAGGTACAATTTTCATCTTTGAATCCAGACAGCTTGTGAAAGTACTTAAACGAAATATGAATGTTGTAAGCAACAATATAAAACGGGCAACAGTGGAGTGCCATCGTCTACTCGTTTCGGCTGCTGCACAATCCTTTGAACCCTCTCATCTTAATATTCATGTTTTAGTCTTATTCCACGCGACATTAGAAGATTGTCGAATACTTAAAGACGTGGGATTATTCTGGAAATATTTTTTTATATGAAACTCTATATAAATACTAAGAATTCTTTATAAACATTTTATAAATTCATGATTCATAAATAGTAATAGTGAGAGATTTTTTTATTTATAACAATGAAAGAGTCTTAATTTTTTTAAATAAAGACACGTATAAGTGCGTTAAAAGCTGATATTAGTTAAGCGAAACAAAACACGATACCAATATTTTTATTCAGATGGAGTTAAAATATCTTCTATGACACACTAAAAAAATTCTGTCACAAGCCAAACGTTGAAGCTATTGGAACAACCAGCAATAAAATAAAAAACTTCAAAAAGTCGGTGTACCGTACACATTGAGTATTCTTGAATATTTTAATTGGTGTGTACCTTGTTATCTATATAGGAAATGCAATTTTTATAGATTTTTTATCCGCTCTATTTTTATTTGATTCTTCAGAAATGTAACAGGATGTTTTTTTTCCTTAAAGCGCTTAAAGTACTTTTCATCGTAGTAAATGGTTGGTACATTGAGAACTTTTCAATTCCTTGAAAAAGTAATGAATGGTTCATTCATGTGGTTGAAAGAGTATTTCCTTTAAAACATAATAGATACTGCAGTTGCTAAAACAGAGAAATATTTTAAATTTTATAGGATTTTTTTTCGGAAGCATACGGTCCGTAAGATTGGCAACGGCAATTGGTATCCATCGCTTATTGACATATGCAATATAAGGGTTATTGAGAATGCATCCCAGTATAAAAATGTTATTTATAAAGTATAATTTGAGCATTCTTGTATTTGAAAAAAAATATATAATAAGAAATATTTTTCTATGCTTCGGAATGGATCTGCATTGTATTGATTTTTTATAATTTTCCATACACATTCACGTGTATCAAGAATAATTTTATGGTAAATCAATCATCAAATAAATTATAAATAAATAAACTAAGAACTTAATCAAAAAACAAAAGATGAATATTAAATATAACATAAAAAAAAGAAAAAGTTGCTTAAGCATACCTAAGTATTAGAAACCTATTTAAAGCCTAAACCTAAAGAGTATAAAATTAAATCATTCCTATTAAATTCATTTGAATATACTCTAATTAATATTAACAAAAACATTTTTTTTCGATGCTCATTAAGCAAGCACAGCTCGCAGAATAAAACTCCTAAATCTAGGGTAGCGCATCTGGAGGCAGGATTCTAGACAGTTGTGTAACGCGATACGTTGGATATCAAAGGACACAATGGGTTTACTCTTATGCAGAGCATTTATGTCAGTCTCATATGCTGTAAGTGAAATTGTTTTTTTGGACCGTAGACGATTTCAGTCTCCCCGCTTCTTTGTTCACAAGTGAATTGCTCAAGAAAGTCCACTGCTTTTAAAAGTTTAGAATTTGAATAGCCAGTCAGCTCATTCTGTTGGAACGATTATAATAGTGACTTTAAAGTCTGGTGCTATGAATATTATACGAACTTTGTAAAGAGCTGAATGCCAGAATGAAATGTACGTTTTAATTACTTTCCAGAATTATGTATTTAATGGCTAAAAAAGGTCCATTAGATTTCATGTTCATTTAGAATAAATGAAATCATTATTAATAGCTAAGAAAGTAAGGTCGAAAAACATTAATAAAATGGAAGTTTGTATCGACAACGGTCCTATATATAAGTCTGATCACCAAGTCATTGGCTACACGGTAATTAATAAACATTGGGACATCTAAAGACCCGCCAATTTGTGGTATCTTGTAAACATCAATTAGTGGTTTCTGGAAAGTTACTACGACAACTGGAACTTACTCGAACGTTCTCAATTTAGGTACACGTAATCTGTAAACTGCATAATTAATAATGTAAACTTACTAATCGGGTTACCAAGGGTTCTTAAATAAACAAAGAAACCTCTAACTCTCGAAAGATTTAATATTCAGGGCCTATTTAAATAATCTTGTATGAATTGAGGGCATATTTGCTGGATGTGACTGATGGCGCATTCAAACAACAAAGAAATTAATGTAAGAATAGTGAAATATTTTTGTTACATTTTTTATAACATAATTTATATTTTTAATATACATATATAAGAAAATTCAAAAACAAATGATGCCGATAATTATTAAAGCTCTTAACACGTTTTAGAATGTTCTTAATTACAAATATACATCGCTTTATATATGTACATACGTAATTATATTTCCTACTTATGTTAATCTTATTCCTGATATTTAATGGAAATAATGGATAAGACACTAATGAGGTCAAGCTCGAAAATATAGTACAATATAATTATAACAAATAACGGTCTATCTGCATCTTAAAATAGTATATTTTCTCAAATTTAATATTAAGTTTTGAAAGTAACATTTAAAGAAGGAGCTTGGCTTAAGCCCAGGAGAGATTTTAACTTACCTCATTTTCATATCAGATTATAGCCCTAACATATTATGTTCATTATTTTCATATATTTTTTACGTTTTATATGTTGGCAAGTCTTTTTAATGTTTTCGTACTATCTATATTGTTCTTTGGATAAATGAAAATCAAAACAAAATATTACGTTTAAAACTATCGCGACCTACTTAAAAATAGACAAAAAAAGTGTTGAAGTTAAATTTCTATTACTTTTAACGTGCTAAGAAAACCATCTGCGAATTACTCACCATAAAAAATACTAATGCAATTTATATTATAAATTAATTTTAGACAAAAACACAGACTTACTTTACCACTGTTTATCTAATAAATCTTTACCATCCTAATTCTAACTCTAAGCAAAACAGTTACAAAATAAATCTCGTTCTTTATATATATGCAATAATAACTTAAAGTAAAAGATATAAATATTATAAATATATTCCTAAATTTTATTATAAATTCGAAATGAATACTGAAATTTTCTATACATGTTCATTAATAAGAAAAATGTAGTACAACTTAATATCTTTTCTTTGTAAAATATAGAATTATAAATTAATTATTGTTTACAAGACAACTATAAACATACATATACCTATGTAAGTTATTAGTGATATGTACCAGGAAACTTAATTTAAATTTCATCAATCCGCCAGACCGAAAACTGATGGTATAATACATACATATGAACATCAATCGCTATAAAATCATATCGTACACTTTACTTTTCCTTATATAGAACCTTGCAGCCTTGAGCGTTTTCATATTCCAGTTAATTTCGCTGTTAACCCTGTAATTAATTTCACGTGGCTTTACAGATAAACATAAACACAGATTATAATGAAACGAGGAACCTTGTTCTGTTTGTCTTAGCTTTCCGTATTAAATTGGATGAAACAGATTGCTTCTGATGTTTGTCTTTCACATTTAAAACAGATTTAGAGTCCATGTACTTACATATGTATGCATATATATACTCTTTCATTACACTACGGTATAAGTAAAGTTCATAAAATAAATGTTCTTATTTTATTGACTTTTATCTTTTTTTATCACCGAAGACCTTTGGAGACTAATTGTTTCAAATATATTAGTACAATTAATTTATTATATTAAAAAACTTCACAGTAATAACATTCACATATATTGCAAAAGCCGCAAAACAAAAACTCTTGACAAAATAACATTAATTAATTATAGAATGATGTTTAGATAAATGGCGACACATTTTTATTTTATACAATGTAGGAAGCAACATAACATATAAATTAATCGACATTCATTCATGAAGAATAGAACTAAACACGTATCAGACATTTCCAAGCCTTTGTAATCACAATGTTAAACATCCACACGAGGGCATATAGAAATGTCAAAAATCTGAAGCACATTGTATTATGTGAAAAAACGTCGTCTGTCTGGTTCATTATCTGTGCAACGCCGATTCTTTTTCTAAAAAAAAAGCTTTTAGTAGTTCTCGGCACACGTCGTCAAGGCCTCTCAAAAATTCATCGCCCGTCTGCAGGCCTTGAATGGGTTTGGGCGTACACCTCTCCCTGACTTTCTTCCTCATAATCTACTTAATAAGTAATCTTATAGGTGCTTAGAGCATATTGCAATTCTTTTGTGTTAGACGTATAAAAGAAAATCTCATAATATATACGGAGAATTTGCTTCGTTACTTCGAATGACCTTAATTTTGGTTCTCATAAAAATGGTATGTTTTTTCTTTAAATTATCGAATTAAACAAAACAAACATCAGTAACCAAATTGTCAGTAATAAATTTCATATTTTCACACTATTGTAGTATAAGACCGTCAAAACACAGGAATCGTTAGCATCAATCCTTGAGTGGTAAAATGACTTTCTTTTTTGCTTACGAAGCCGCATATTTTCATCCGAAATACATCCAGACTTACATGAGGCACTCAAAAATTCAACGACACGGGAACGCTATGACCGTTTTCTTAGTTTTTCTTTGAGTTAAAATCTTTTTTATGTGAAAATTATTTTCTTCAATGATTATTAGCAATAAAAACACTTCCTTGTTATATGTTTTTAATAAGAAATTGTCAAATTTTACAACGAATTTTGTTTACGTAAATAATATATAAAAATTAAGAAAGTACATATAAAAATATATCTTTGTTTTTATTTTTACTTTTCCATAAAAATTTAAAAGTCATTTAGGGCTTCTACCCTAAAATTATTATTTATTTAAGACACAACAAAAACTTTAATAGCCTAATTTAAATTATTTTTCTTTATAATTATGACATTCAAAACGAAACTAAAAGTAAACGATAATTTCTATAAATTTAAACCAACCCAAAAAGTCTTTTCTAAAGTCATTTTAAATAAATGTACACATGAAATATAAATAAGTTGCCACTTATCAAAATTAAAGGTTTTTGATAAACCGAAATATCAAAACGGTCGTTACCTTTAGACGTCATCTGATGAATATTTTATTCCTATAAAGTCTGCTCCGCGTTCATTATACATATAATATTAAACAACGCAACCAACACTACAAAACATACATTGCGGTGTGTGAACAAGAAATTTAAATATCTTTCTGTTGTCGGCTGAAACTGCCTGATACGAATATTCCGTGTTACAATTAGAAGTTAATATTACTTTTATAGAAGTGCACGATATAAAAATATCATATAAATGTTTTCTATCAAGCAAGATATATTTATAGAAGTCAAATCATTCGTTTGGATTAGATTTCAAAGCGGCTATGATTAAAGGACTGCATACTATGAACCCGAGGAAACGAATTATTTTTGGCGAACTAAAGATTATTAATTGAACAGAGTCAGCGTCTCGGCTACCCTTTTTTCTTACGTTTGAGACTAAAAGCCTTTAATTCTGTGCAAGTTAAAAACTAATACAGAAAGATCAACTGCGTACCAAAAATTTCGTAATGATATTATAGTATTTAAAAGCTTATTTCATATATTTTATAATGTCAATCAAGTTAATAAATTTCGTAATTAATAACAAAGAAAATATACAATAAAAATAATCAATCAAAATATGAATGAGAAAACTTATACTTATTATGAGAAAACGCTTCCGCTTTTAACTTGCAACTTAAACGTACACTCTAAAGGTAGAGAGAGATGTACGTAAATTTCATTTACCACAAGAAAGTGCCGAGCGAGAACCTCGAACGTAAACTCCACTTAATTACGCACACAAATTGAAGAGCTTCTTCCCTATAAGTAAAAAATATCGGCTTTTACACATAAATTTATTTTGCTGTTACCAAAAATGTTAAAAAAGGAATATACTTTTAAATGTAGTCATATAAGATAAAATTTAATAATCTCAATGGCCACGAATTTGTACCAAAATCTTTATAAAATGTGTAATTAAATGTAATAATAATGGGTTGGTGGATAAATAAGTTTACACGGCCTTCTAACTCTTGCAGTTGTGGTGTAAGATTATATCAATAATATTAATAATACTTTATTTCTTTAAAAAATATATAATAAGTGCATTAATATCTGCAATTTCAATGTTTTGATGCATCTCATCCATTTATATTTAGACTGGTGTGTTAAAAAAGCATTTAATCTTCTACAAACTTATTATTTTTATGTTATTATAAAATATTTGACATTTCTCTTTTATTCCAGGCTCAGTGTTATCATATGGAAGATGATGAAAACGATATAATTTATCAATCTTCCAATATAATATTTACCTTCAGTAAGTGTAAAGTAACGCTTTTATAAATAGACATTCTTTTTAAGATAGACACATTTTTTTAATACTGATATAAATTTATAATTACGTCACTCGATATGTAATTTGTATGTTTACTTATTAATATTTTTTCTAACAATGAATTTACAATATGAATAGTTATAGAAATTAATCTTATCATTACCAGACCATATAATATACGACGCAGATGACATCTACAGTCTCACTTGTTGCGGCGTCAACATATTCAACGTTGATATGACGGCTGAAGATGAATCGTTTTTAAAAAACATCACAGATGTTATTACTGAATCCGAAAATCTCCCAAGAATGTTTCCATATACATACTACAAACCAACAGGTTTATCTGTTTCTATGGATATCAACAAAGCTGTAGATATTAATGAAAGAGTGAGTTATTCAAACTCTATCTTAACAAAGTACTAATTCTATAATTTAAATAACTTTTATTTTTTGAGAAGGAAAAATCATCAAATTATTCCTCTTGCTCTGGGTGGGGTCTCAATCATTTGATGATTTTGTCAGTGTCAGATACCTATTGACTAAAATCCCCTGTACCTTCTCCTGCTCCGAGCCAGGCCGCGGTACATCATTGCGCTTGCACCCGCAACCCTATTGGTTTCGGTTCTAGGGCACCATCCATATATGCCTGCCTGCGCGCAGTACGCCATGCGCCTTACGCAGGGGGTCTGGTTCTGACCAAAGACCTGCGCTTACGGTGGGTGGAGATCGTCTTGCGATCCCCAACGCCTGAACTCTGAAGCGTCAACCATTGTAAACTGTAACTGTATGTATCATTTAAGGTGGATATTATATTATTGAAAGAAGTTAGAACAGTTGATGAATTGCTAAGTTTTAAAAAACAAAATCCAAACTTCAGCAACAAAACAATCATGGTCTGGCTGACGAGGTGGACGTTTGAAGAAATAAGTATTGTTAAGGTATCAGAAATGTATTTTTGAAATTCATTAAGCAATTATTTACATAATTATTAAATCTGAAAGTTTATTTTACTAGTAGGTATATTCACTCTGTGTGACTATTTAAGCTAATGTTTTTAAATCATATTGATCAGACACAATACGAAATACTTTGAGTATTCGTTTTTTAGGTGTATAATGAGAATGCACGTGAATTCAGATATACTCGTATTAACAGTAATAAATACTTATTATTAATCATTATATTACAAAAGTCTATCATCTATTTTTGAAATATTTTTTTTCTTTTCCAGTTTTCAGATGGAGTTGTGTTAGATCTTCTCGACGATAATCAAAATTGGGATGAATTTTGTAACTGTCCTCTAGACTTTTGTAAAGAGGTATTAAATAATAACAATTAAGGAAAACTATTAAGGTCAATAGCATATATGAGTTCAAGGTATTGCGTTAGTAACAAAATTCTGTGTCTCCTTTTACAGAACCGAAAACCGGTTTTTTATGTAAAAAATAATATAATACAAGAATATTACCAACTTTCATATAGAGAACGATTAATAAATATAATGGCTGATGGAATCGTTAAGAATCGTCTCGATGGAATTATTGTAGTGGACGATAATTCAGATAAAAAATTACCAAAAGAAATGATTCGCTCTTTAGTAAGAGCACTTGATAACTCTGAAAAAAATATTGACGTATCCAAAGAATATTTTGAGAAAAGCTTTAAGGTTAAAATGATAATTGACATACTCATATTTGTATTTTAACATGGAATTTAAAACAAAATTATTATTTTTAGGAGAAAATACCTGTGCTTGCTCCTTTGTCTACAGCTTTTGCAGCATCCCTGGCTGCTCTTACAAGTGACGCCAAAGTAATACTAGTACTATCAGTTACCGGTGTTTCAGCTCAATTAATATCTTTTACTTCACCACCTTGTCATATCATTTGTATTATATCAAGAAAATCAACGGCTCGTCGACTACATATGTATCGTAAAGTCATCCCATTATTTTTTCAGCGTAAGTAACCTATAAATTATCTATTTTATATATAAAATTAATTTAAAAATCAACTTAAAATTATTGTAAATTAAATATAAAAATGTTTTAAAATCAACTGTTATATTATTATAGCAAACTCAAACACCGTACTTAGCAATTACTTCATTTATAAGCAACACAATAAATAGAGACACATTAGCATAATGTCGGGTAATTACAGCGAATCGCTCCACAAACTGGCATCAGAAATGTTGGAGTCGCATACATTTTGGCACGACTTTCGCTTTGAAGATCGGTTTGCTGGAGCTTGGAGCCAAATTAGTGGTGGTGCAGCCCTCGGAAGAAGCAAATGGATATTGTGATTCTTTGCGAATTTTGTCCATTCCATTGCAATGTGATAACTGATAAGATATTCAAATTTTACTTATATAATATGGATAAAATAAGATAAAACATATTTTGTCATTTATAATATATCGAGAATATTAAAACGCTATTAAAAATAATGGAATATAAAATTTATTTTAATTTTAGTAACAGATTTCTATCATTTTCCACGTGACCAGATCAATTGTAATGCTATATGAATGCTTCTTTTCAATTATTCGCCTGCTCGCACTTATTTGCACTAGCGAGTGTCGACCCGTATCAAATTTACGCGTGGCTACACTTCCAATAAAAAATTTCCAAGTTAACTGTGGTATACTGAAAAGACATATTTATTTCCGCAGATCTTATTTGCTTAAGGTTGCAAAAGTATTTGGCTTACCTAGGAATCACTGAAATAACAAAGTCAAAACATGTTTTATATCTTTTTGTTTTGTTAGACATACATGCCTTTGAATTTTAGTATGGCATTTTTCTCGTTAAATTTTATTTTCAAGCAGATGCAGACAGCACTTCAAAGGCATATAATATTAAAAAACGAGTACACAAAAACACGTAAGCAGACGTAACGTCAGCCGAAATTCATAATTTATTTCGTCACATGCACCACTGCATAATTATAAACCTTTGTTCTGAGGCCTGTTGTTTGTCAAAGCAGACGCGTCCGGCCCTCATCTCAAGTTTGGCAAGAGGTCTTCGTCAGCAGATGTCACGACACGTACATAGATGACCTACCGATTTTCAACACCTCTGTTTAATAAGCAATATTAAAAACGACTTAGTTTAGAAGTTTATTACATTTTTAGATATAATATTCTTCAAATATTTAATATAAATATTTATCTTCATATCTCGCAAAAATTAAAAGCTCATTATTTAAATATCTTTATTTTTTTAGTTCAGTGGGTTTTATTTTAATACAAAGAGTACGTGAATAATGCAATAATTTCGAAGAACAAAGAATAAATTTTTAAAACGTACCTAATTTTCTGTTAAGCCACACTAAAAGTAGAGTAACCATCTGTGAACGTGGTGTTCCTTCGTCTACACGAGTGCCGTACATTGTAGGGTCCTCGACCTTTCCCAATATAAAGGAAAGTCTGTTTTAACTTCATCTTTACTATACTTACACCTTCACTGATCAACAACTCGAAGAATTACCAATACAGCTATTTAAAATTGTTTTTTTTTTAAGTATTTTATTGAAGTGATAAATGCTCCATGAAACAATCTTATTCTTATGCTAATGCTAATGGTAATGGTAAAGTCTTATTAATTTGATAGCCAAAAATAGTAGTAAACATTTTAGAATAATTTGATGAAGATTTTAAGCGTATAAAATGAAAAAAAAAAACACTTTAAAATAAAACATTTTGCTTAAAAGAAAACAATATTTCAATAAAACACACGTTTTTATTTATTTATATAATAGAAAAAACCATTACGAGGATTTTTTATACGTTGATGAAACATAGTTCTCAAAAGTTGAAGATCTATCCTGTTATTTATTGTATTTTTATTATTATCATGATCATGATACTAAAAATCACTAGGAATAGGTCCCTGATCCGCCTTTTCCTAATACTATACTTAACTCTCCATATACTTCCTCCAAAGTGTCTACTTAGAATCGTACGAGATATTGCTAAGGTTCGTCCCATTGGGAATAGATGCCAGTGTTTTCTTTTCTTCAAAGGAGTACAGCTCCACTCGTTCATGACCATTTTGAATTTCAAGTACATTCTGACTATTAAAATAACAATTCCTTTTGCAAGTATGAAAGTATTCAGGTGCGAAATTGTGTTATGGTGCACAACAATAGACTGTAAAGTGGATCTTCGTATAAAATCAATTTTATTTTTAAAAGACACGAACCACATTAGTTTTATTAATCGAAACTAAAACTAACAGCTAACACATTCTAATTTATGTGTAAGGATGTTAACATAACAATATTTTAGTTAGACATAACAATATTTTAGTTATTTCTATAGAAAAAAAGATGTAAGTTTATACATCATACAAATCGCTCAGACTTTTGTTGAATAGACTTGTTGATCAAAAACTAGAAACACAATCCTTTAGTTCGTCTCGCGTTAAGGAATTTTCTTCATTACTTGCACTCGGATAAGGAAAATTCAAAATGTCTCGAGCAGAACACTGCATTTTACTTAAACAAAATTTACAGTTGAATTTCTCTCAAGCTATGCATTGCACGCCTGAATCGTCAGATATTTAAATTTGTAGAAATACATAAAATGTACATCGGTTACTTTATCAATGGATTTCGAAATAAAAATTAAATCTCGTAGTAAAACGGATAAAGGGAATTAAAGGCCTACAATGGTTGAAAATGTAATAAAATATACATCTATCTACAATTATTGATGGACAACTATTTAAGGCAATGAGTTTACTACTTAAAACGTAAAGAAAATTTAGAATTCTATGAAATAACTTGAGAAGTCTTCTTTGACAATAATTTCTTAAACATTTTGTTATTATCTCTTTATTATTTCAGTTTCATTATGATTTGTTGTGTGCTCACCAAATTAAGACATTCTATTAAATTGAAATCATTAATATAAGAAACTTATCTTTACAGAGTCTGTGGAAGTGACTTACGACGACTAATTAAATTAATTCACAAGTCGCTACGCAGACAGCGTTCTCGGAACAATCACACTCCATAATAATTTTCACTGCGTAACTACTTTATAAAGTGGTTCGGTTAAAACAAACATGATTACGATGCCGGTTGAAATAAAATCAAAAGTTTTATTTAAAAAATATATTATATGGTATAATTAATTTTATCTGCTGAATCAATCGAAATTTTAACTAGCTTATGAGATTTATCAAAAATATTTTGCTGTTCCACGATAACTGTTCAAATATACTTAAGACTTATTGATAAGAAACTGAACAAAAAAAAACATATCATATTTGAAATATTAGTTAGGAAAATAAAGACGATATTAGTCGATTGTCTACAGTTCAATTTGTGTTAGTGTTTTCGGAACATCGGCTTTGTCACGTCTCCACCCATCCTTAGAGGCGGAGTGAGCCAGGTCACGATTTCGACTTGTAACTCATAGCCTCACAGGGTTCCCCATAATTACTACGTGTTCAAATCCGCCTAAGCTATTTTCTTGCTGAGAATTCAGCTACTTCAATAAACTGCGAATTGAAATAAATTAATATCAAAAACTGAAAGAACTCAGATCAATCTTGTTCATCTTGATGAATTTTTCTATTTGAATAAAATTATAACGATAAGAAATGTTACTGATATTTAACACACTACACTACTATATACATATATAACTACTAAGTATGGACCAAATTTTAATTAAAATATATATAAGTAGGTACTTTTTATATTCTCGAGATAGATTTGGTGAAGATGGCCTTGGGGTGCGGCCTCGATGGGTGACATCTCCAAATATTACCATTTAAACAAGTTTTATGTAAATCTCTGCAAGCTTTGGGGAAACTTATTTTCAGACCAAATTTTAAATCACGTTTTTCTTAAAGACCTTCTTCGTATATAGTTATATTAGTATTTATTTAATATAATTATCTTAGCATTTCTTAAAAATTCATATATAATTAATCATACCTACTCCAAATGAAACATTCTAAAAGTAACAAATTAACTTCTTATATTTTCATCGTCTGATTAAGAATTCAAAGCGTATAAAGTGAAAATTTGAATAAGATAAACCGAAAGGTGAAAATTTAAATGAAGTTACGAGATATTTTAACGTCGAAATAAACTTTTATAATACTTCTTAGTAAGTTGTAAAGAATTATATAGTAGATAGCGCTTTGTAACTTAGTATGATTATTTTTGTATTTAATGTTCTTGGATCAAGTATAAATATTAGTAAAGAATAATATTTATACTTGATCCAAGAACATTAATATTTTTTGGAATTGGAAGGGAGAATTCTTAGAGAATTTTAAAAAATTAATATAAAAAAAATTATGCATCGAAAAGTTTTTTAGTCTGTTATTTTTATATTATTATATGTCGCTTCAATTCCTATTATTTAAATAATCAAAAATTTGCACTGCACCTGTTCGCTCTTGCACCTGTATCTGCGCAAGTGCAGTCATAATAATGAGTGTCAGTTGACATAAATAAAGGCGAGGGTGCAGATTAACTGGCGATTAAACAACAATGGACAACTCAGACACGAACACCCTCATGACAAACCATAACAACAAGAACACACCGCCTTCGCTGGCGAAGGCTAGGTCATAGTTGAGACACACGTCGCTCCGGCTTTCTACTGTTAAAGGAAATCATACATTCTCATCTGCCCTTCAGGTACGTATTTTAAAGGGTGTACTTATCGGGCCACCCACCTCTCTCTGTGACGCTGTCAAAGCTGTATTTAGGGCTAACAGCTAAAGTCAAGTCAAAACTAAAATAAAAATTAAAAACAGTTTCACTCGAGCCGTTGCAGACATCAGACATCTTACCTCTTCGAAGTTAGGGATTCGTGAAAAGTTATACGAGGTGTCCTTCAATGTCCTTCAAAAGCCGGAAAGGTTGACGATACTTAAGAACAAAGGCATTGATGACGTCATAATCTTCAAAACACCACGAGGGTTATAATAAATACGACATATTTATATCGTACGCAATTTTCAGATAATTTTCATTTTACTAACTAATGTAAGAGACTAATAGACAATAGGTACATAAAGATAAAACCATTTTAGTAAAATAGTTCTTATGACAATATAAATATTTAGATTCTTTATTTCATGGAATAAACAGTTTAAGGCCATTTAATGAAATGTAAGTTCTACTTGGTTTTTATAATAATTTCCCTCAATAAAAATTTTAAAATTGAAATCAATAACTACAAATATTACTTATTCTAAACTAGTGACGTTGAGCATTTAATTTCCAATTATTTATTGGTACCTCTATATTTTAAACATATTCTTACATATGATTCTTCACAATCTAAATTAAAAGATCAAATATATAGCAAAGGTCC